CAGATGGGACGATTGCTGAGTAACTGTAAGAGAAGAGCCACAAATGGAGTCTGCCCTTAACATAGTCTTCAAAAGTCTACTAGCCTTAAAGACAAATTAATTAAAATATCCTTTCATTAAGTTAATTACGGAGTTGCTTGTTGTATTTGTACGAAATTGCTAAATACATGAACACACAATGCCTATACCCCAAAGTAGCTATGTGGATTTTTGAATAAAGTGACAAGGAAGATTGAGCGTTGAGCTCTGTCGCCGTACAACTACGTCTGAAGCGTCATCGATTGCGATTCTCTAACAGGACGAAACGTCTAACGCGATAGAATTGGGGAGAGGAATCAGTGGCATTGTGGTCAAGCATTACCTCAGTTGCGTGGAACTTCGAAACTTCGTCTATGGGTATTTTCTTCATACAGCATTGCTGCGAATAGTCCGTGTTACTCCGTTTTGAGTAAAACATACACACCAGTGTATATACTTTGCGTCCAGTACAAGTACTACTGCTGTGCATGGTATCAAATTACGTTTTGATTGAATGGTATTGTAATTCTGTGAGTGGGAAAGTGACTACGACCTTATGGAGTGAAGTTGTTTTTGTTAGTGCATGCACTAGCCTTAGTTTGGTGTTTGCGCCAAAATTCATTGCACATCTTTTGTTTGATCAAACCTTCCGCACCTAAATATTGTAGCACAAACTGCCGCAACAGCATAATTATTCCAGGTTGGGTAAAAAAGCGTCCAAAAGATGTTTTCGACACGGTGGCTTATTGTTTAGCCCTTCAAGCAGTCTTTGTGTTGCATAAGTTTATGTTTCAACCCGTACGATGGTGGAATGAAGAGTTGTACTTTGACTACAAATACTTAACCCTAAAAGGCAATAAGTCTCCACAGGCCTGGAAAACCCACTTCTCCCTAAAATGGCGGTGGCATTTTTGGGCAGTCTGGCGGTACTTTATGCATTATGGTGGGCTGACAAAACCTAGAGGAGCCCACGCACCATCGCGGTCCCCTGCGGCGGACGCAAATTATGCATTGCCGCTTACGTAGATGCTTTTGCCATCGCAACTTGGGCACTAAATGAGCGCGTAATGCAACGTTAATAGGACTTAGTTGAAATACTTTGTGTTCAGAGCATAACCGGCTTCACCTTACCTGCCTGTCCAGTCAAAGCGTGATTGGAAAAGCTGTATGTATGCCTTTTTCATGCACAAATTCTCATTAACGACCCACATTCCATTGCCTCTAACGTCATGCTTTTGCTGGAACACGCATGCCTGTGCACAATGGAGTAGGTGAAACTGCCAATTCAAAAATGTACAAGTGATGGTCACTTTAGGTCAAACAACAGGCTGCAAATATGCGGAGTCACACCGCCTGTCCTTGTTCTCGTCGTGCTCTGGTGCGCTCAAGTGAAGAGTGCGCTCTTCGGAACCTCTACGTTTTAAGTGTCTTCTGCGTTATTTGGGTTCAAAGAACAGCCCATCATGCAGATTCTTTTAAACACCTTATGCTGATTTTAAGGAATTTCAACCCAGCGTGGAATCAGATGCAACATCTTCCAGTTAGTTACTAGGCCAGATTTATTAGCTTAGCCAATGACCTTTCCATGAGGGCTGATGGTACGGTAATGACCTGAATAAAACTGCTTCTAATGACCTCATTGCCTACTGAAGTATAAATTTCAAATGGGCCGAGAATAATCGAGTTTTGAAGTGATCGTCATCCAGCGCAAATTGTCACATCGTTAGGTTACGTGGAAAAGCTACGTTTTTTGTACTATTTACTCTGTTAATTGCAAATGGTACAAGTGTTTGTGTGACCAGCGTGTGGTGGGACCGGTTGTGATTCTCGTGCCGCAGCGTATTTGCAACCATCTCTAAGTGGTGGCGTTTACAATCACCCACGTCATTGACACACCACTCCACGCTCACGATCACCAAATCCCTCCCTTTCATGCGACCCAAACTACAATGAAATGTCGACTCTCCAGTGTTTACCCTCATGAGTATTTTTGCCGATTTGCTTGACAATCTAAAATCAGAATGGTGTTGTATCGGTTACCCATATTTTAGATTCGTCTTAATTTTTTGGCTCAAGTGTCCTCCAAATTTTGGTTTTTTTTTACTGACTATGGTCAAGTTTTCAAGCTTTTTTTGGGGCGTTTTGTGCGTGTGTAAGTTAATAAGAGAAGGCAAAAGGCACAAAATCCATTCAAACGGACGTGTGATGCCAATGTTTATTGATATAAAAGGCAAAATGTTTTAAAGATTTCTTCCTCTTGATCTACTTATTGCCTTTGACAAAACAACATAGCTTTATAGTAGGTGTGGTGTTATTCCTTATTGTTGGGCTCACCACATTGGTAGGCGGATGTTCGACAGGAGCGAAGGATTGGGTGCACAAATTCATCTACCGTCAAGCACTAATTGATTTGACACAACATTGTTTGCAGTGGTGGGTGCTTCCCAATTTACGTAAAATATGCCTTACATCACCGCCCTAATCGCCTCTATGTCGAAGAGCCGTTCATGAATGGCAGCTTCCTGCTGGTGCTTGCCAGCAAACCACCAGATTTGCGTTAGGAACTGAACTACTGTAACTGCAAGCACGTGTCGCCACGCGCCAGTTTTCCGGTCAAGTTACCTGCGGCATCCTGTGGCACCAGCGCGTAAAGTGGTGAGATGGTGGTCTCCGCTGCATGTCTACACGAGGAAGGGAACAACAGAGTTGCTGGTAGGTGGTGCATCATGATAAAATCGGCTACATTTGAATCCGATAGTGACGGCACCACGTCTGTCTGTATGTGCGCATACTGTCAAGCAAAACTGCATCTCTTGCATTCGAATGCACCGGGTAATCAAAGCACAGCTCAAACAATAGAGAAAAACTTTTACGTATGCAAGGATTTTTACACTACAGACACCGATCTGCTGAATAGGAGCTTAACAAAATGGTTACATGCTCTAATATCTTGGCAAAGTCCATAAGGAAAAGTTGTTTGGAAATTTCAGTCAGTAGTGTAGTCACTAATTCAGTGCAAGCTGAGCGCTAAATTTTCATTTGTTATCACACGTTGCCTTTGTTTTCCGGCAGCCATACTGTGTTGACGGAAGGCACCACCCATGCAAGACTATGAATGCATTTACCCTCTAACTCTATTCTTCGACGGAACATTTCCCATCTGTTAAGGCGCCTGTAAATAGCTTATTAACAGACACTCTCTCGTTGCCTGCTGTGGTGTGGTAGCAGGAATTTTCGTTGTCCCCTCTTTTGATTGGTACTAGTGGGTGAACCTGTTAAAACAACCACATTCCTCACAAATAAGGAAGGATTATTCAGTACAACAGTTCTCAATAGGAACCGAGTTTTATTGTGCATAGCGATTTCTTTGCATGACCATGAAAGCAATGAAGGACCTGAAGATTGAAGCCATCGCTTAAATCACTCTACTTCATCGATGGACATCATGATTGTCAACATCCCTGCCATTGGTAACCCTGCAGCAGTGAGAGTTTTACTTCCTTCTCCTCAAATAAAGTCCCACATTCGGAAGAAATGTAGTTAAAACTAGTTTTTCTGAATAACTTCCTGTTCGTAGAAAAGGCATTCCCTAGTGTAAACAATTCTCACGTGAATGGATCGCAATTGGCTTTTGTGTAACTGAAGCTAAGGTCACTGAAGGCTCGCATAGCACCACATTGTCGGCTCTAGTTAGACGAATTAGCGAGTCGCTTTTATGTAGACGCGATAGTGATTGCCGAAAAAAACCCACAACACGCGAATTGAAATACCTACTCTGGTGTGTTCATTGAATAAAAACATCAATTCACCTGCGTGAAGACCAAATGTTGGGGAACTGAACGCGATGAAAGTCGTGGATGTACACCGATTTCAAGCTTACAATGCAACTAAAATTATCAATCATAGCAGCTGGTTTACCTGAGAGGAAAAGAGTGGAAAACATTTATGACGAGTTGCTGCATCTGACACAGCACCTCTTAGTAAGTTGACTGATTTGATTGCATGACGTCACAAATGAACCTAAAATATCCGCTCCCCCCGGTGAGCAAAAAGCATTTAGCGTTGTGTCCGGAACATGACCCACTGATTTACTCGCTCACGTGGTCTCCGAATCGGCACTGGACTTAAATTGGTTAACATGTTTACATATCAGCAAAAGTAGGTAAAGCACCGCAGGAATCAAAAGTGTTTCATTTCCTCATAAACACTGCCTGTCAGTTTTTCTCAAGCACTTACCACGGAGATATTTGGCGTTAAGATTTTGTAAGGCCTGAGTCCTTATTTGTCTCCTAATGCAAGGTTATCAAAAGCGCGCACATCATAGGATCTCATTCAAATGGCGGATTTGAAACTGGGCCCACTGTTGATTGGACATGCACCCCAAAGTGCACTCTAATAATTTAAACTGGTAAGAAAACAAGATCAAAACGAAATGAATATAAAGTGATACTTAAAAGTACAAATTCAATTATTATCCCCCTTTGGTTTCAACAGATGCCACCATAGTTTGTGGGACCTGCCCCTTTTCTGAAGTAGCACACCACTTTTCAACAGAGTCGATGACGTAGCACCAAACAACAATACACCAGGAGAAAAACTCAATGCCAAAATTGCTCCACCTATTCCGTGGTTCGCAAAGACGACCCAAATAAAGGGGTACACATCCTTTTGCTATGTTTAGGGATATAGAGAAAATTTCCACTACTAACGCAGAGGTTTTTGTCGATTTCATTGCTTTCCCACGCAAACAAGGCTTTGTGGTATTACCATACTTTTGCATCCCTTAACCATAACTGATGATTTGAAGACAATGTTTTGACTCAACTTTTCGATCTCTTTATAAACAAACAAGAGATATGAATAACTGCATACGAATGAGCTCGTTTATGTGTATGAAGTGGTATGAGTTAATGCATAAGTGACAGAACCACACACAGAGGGGAAAGGGAAAGGCGTAGATCTAAGAAAACAAAGAGCAGGAATCACTGTTTGTCGGTTTGAAAGGCAGTGGAAAAATAGCTGTGATTTTTTAATGCATCATCACGAGGAGAGTCGTGGGAATTATAAGCCGATAGGGCAGGAAAAACAAAGTGAGCAACGTCTTGTGTTTGACTAACATAGGCGGGAAGAAAACTGAAACTCGAAGACATACCCTTGTGATTGCAATGACAAAGCAGTCCTGCAGAGTTACACCACTTGGTGATTGCCGTTGCATTTCCTTTTGTTCAGGGTCGTTGCATGCCTAGGTAGAGATCACACAGACAGCTATCGCTCCCTCTATGAAGGCAGACCCGTAAGTAAAGTAGCTTTGAGATTGGATGAGTGAGGTGAATGCATTCAGCTGGTTTTAACTATGGAACGTGGAGATTGAAATGACGTTTTGTTGGCGTGAAGAGAGCTAGGCTTCAAGGAGAGCAAAAAATGAACCCTGAAAATTGCATCTTGCAGCCAGTATTCGTCTGAGGTGACTGAGAGAATAGTCCTGTGTCTACGTGAGGGAATTTTGCTGAAAACGATGACTATGACTATTTTGAAGTTTATAAGCACGGATTACCTGTATAGATACAACATGGAAGCGAATAAGATGAGGAGGAGGAACGAGAAAGAGTAATAACAAAGAGTGAATGGAACACATTGTTGCCTAATGACGTAACTCGGGTACATTGTCTAGACTGCCGAAGACAGACTTCAACTGGTTCTCATAGTTATCAATGTTGCGCCGGAGGATATCGAGACAAGGCCCAAGGAGACGCTCAAAACTGCCTACATCGAGAACAGCTAATTTTGTTCGGGTAATTGCATAGACAGAGGCGGCTCGGGGATGTTTGGTCAGCAGAGCAAGTTCACCAAAGTAGCCACCCTTTTTGATCCGAGTGAGTTCAGTTTCTTCATCCGACCCTGACTTTTTCATGGTTATACGGACCTCACCATCCTCAACGAAGTACATTTCATCACCTTCCTGACCCTGACTAATGATCTTTGTGCCCTCCTCATAAATTTGCGTGTGGAGAGCGTCGGCAATGCTCATCCTCTCATAGGCACTGAGGCTTTGAAGAATGGGCACCTGGTTGAGTAACTCTTCGTACATCTGTCTCTTTTTGAAAGCGCTCTTTAATACAATGCTCCGAAACACTTCCCGAGTCATTGCCCACAAAATTCCAGGAGTGGTGGCTTGAATTGTTGCTGCTCGAGGTGTGTTATACATAAGCGCGAGTTCACCAAAAGACCCGTTGTTATCGTATTGTCCGACCTTCTTTTCAACACCATCCACTTTTACAATAATATCATATATTCCCTTTTCGATCACGTAAAAATTGTCACCATCTTCTCCCAAAGTAATAACCTTCTCCCCAACATCCACCTTCCTTTCAAACATGGCATCAATAACATCCCGCATTTGATCTTCATCAAGGCATCTAAAAAGAAGAATCCCCTTGGTTGCATTTGTCAGTCTTTGCCGTTGTTCTTCTGTCTTTTCATGAACAACCTTCTCGAATTTATCCTCTTTCTCAGGATCATAGCTCTCTGCAGCAACACCTTGACGACGCCTAGCTCGAATTGGAGGTGCTATAACCTCTTCTTCATCGCTTTCGGCCCCTTCGTTTTCTTTCTGTTGATTCTTCTTCATTTCAAAGTATTCCGCAGCAAAATTTATGATGTTTGACGGTCGGTTGCGCAAAACAGCAACTGTGAAGTCTTGGAGTATTTCCCGCAGGCCTTCTGGTACGTCAACAGTCTTCTTCGACATTGGGTGTGGAGGCGTGTGCGTGCGGACGTGAGTGCAGGAACGGGTGAATTCTCTCCACCACTGATCGGTGAAAAGGACTAGCCAACTTCGCGGCCTGACAGAATCTGCGATCCCTGCACACGTTACTTGTTAGCTTCGCATTCATTGGCAGTCACCACTTGTCTTGTGTAAACCAATCACCTTCACGGCTAATGTTAGCTTGCTACCACGTGCGCTTATTACTGCGACTGGGCTGCATGCGCACAACTCTCGAACTCCTGATTGGTCACCTAAGGCAGCCATATTTTCACTACCCTAAGATCTCCGCTGCAAGTAAATCTTATGGCTAATCGAAGTATGCTGGTTTTGCCTACCGGGTCTGCGTTCTTTTGTGTTGGTCTGAGGCGAACGGGCGTAAAATACTTGGCTGCGAAATGTTTACTTATGAGACTATAAAGTATGCCTCTCACTTCCATCTGATCCGCAAATTTCACTTCACACTGTAACATAGTTGGGATTCCAGTTTAAATTAACTTTCTACTTTGCTGCTTAGACTCCTTTGTAGTACGTTAGGTCTCGTAAACAACCAGTATATTGTCATTCTCCCTAGAACGATACGAACGCCCAAACCTCAGATGGCTTTGAGGCGCAGTTACATTGCCGAAAACAGCTCTTAACCAAGGCCATTGGTATGTTAAGGTAATTTGTTAATTTGAGCTTTAGAATTCAGATCGGAATATTGAGCATTTTGGTCATCTTTAAGTATAAATAGACCTTGAGATTGCACGATGGGGTGCACTTTGGTTATTGGTGTGCTCCTACTCTCACCTCTAGCCTTAACATCTTTATTAGCGACTGGCTACACAAGTCTAAACATTTTGGTTTTTGTCACTCGGGCTGTGCAGGCACCGCCACCGTTGGTCGACGGTCACCGAGACCATTCGATCGTCGGCGTACGAACCAGATTTTTCGCATTTTTCCAATCTTTCAAACGCTGCGTTATTATTTGTCAGCCAAAATGTTCCCTGCACAAAGGGTATGTTCATTAGCATCAAGAAAACAGCTATTTTACATGCTTAGAATAATTCAATATCTGCAGACTTCTTCACTACTTAACGGCAATTTGTGAAGCTTTTTAAATACCTCTCATCCTACCTGTCTACAGAAGTTCCAATTACAGACTGCTTGCAGATCTTACCCTTTGACATGATCTCCACAATAATCATCACCGAGATGAACGCTGAGGTAGACGGGCAAATGTGTTTTTTTCAGCAGCCAGTGGGTGTGTCGAACTGGTAAAATAGTCAAACCGGGCGACGCACAAAGGTACCCACTGCGAATTTAATTTACACATTGCCCTTTGTAAGCAGATGTTTATTGGCACTCTGGCATCACTACTGTCCTCGTAAGGTCAATGTGGCATCTGATCTTTTGAAGCATGCGCAACTTCTGAAATTTTGGTGTGGACACCATGTTAGCGGTGGCGATTTCCTTGCTTTAACCGAAAGGTTAAGGGACCCCGCGTAAAAGCAAAGTAAATTTGAATCACTCAAAATGAATAATGAGATTCCACAAAGAATGCAAAAACATTGAATAAAACGTGCATCAACTGTTAATTGGGGATCAGATGTGATGCTTAGTTCGCATTACTTAGATTGGAATGCGCAGGTTGTAGGTGATGTATCGACTTTTTTTCTAGGTCTTCTAAAAAATTGTAGACGAAAGTTCAAGCATTCCTTAAAAACACCTGCCCGACATCGTACGACGCTACGTCTCGACACCACACTTAGGGACTGATTTGAATAATTTATGGGAATACTAGTAAATTATGAAGGAACTGAGTGGAAATTTTCTCAGTACTAAGATTTTCTAGCTTTGAGGCAGAAATCTGAAGTAAGAATATGGTCGACCTATAAACAATTGCCTACGGACGTCATTTTCCGATCTGTCAACCTTGCAGCGGCTCATTTTATTGTAAACACCTTCTCCACTTAGCCACATCGAAAATTTATCAGATCCAGACAAATGAACTCCGCCATCCCCACAAAAAGTCGTATTCATCTAGGCCATAATTTCTGACTAGAGGGGAGAGCAGTACAATCCCGTTGGAAGGTATGGGAAGGGAGACATGCAACTGTATGGACTTTTTTACTCATTTTGAATTCTTCATTCATGTTCTAGGGTAATAGAACATGAAAAATGACGCGAAATATAGGAAACCATTCACATTTGTATTCAGGCGTCAGTTTAACTTTTGCTATTCTCGTGAATAAGAATCGCGTTGCCATTAAATATCACATTTTAATTTTTTTATGAAATTTTAACTTTCTCTTGCTAATTACTTGAGAGCAGTTTTATGAAGGCAACAACTTACAGTGCATGCAGGTCACGCACTCACCTCGCCTCCACGGCCGCAACGTTAACATCCCCACATTGTAGTCATTACAAGAACGGAAGATTCACATTTTTGGCGCAAACCAAGGGGAGATGAATAATAGTATTTCGTTGTAAAAGCAAATAATATCAGGCGAAGGACATTTAGTGTAATAATTGCCCTAACGAAATGATATATAAAATTCCCATACAGATGTAACCCAGTGGAAACATGTCGAAGTGTCGCTGTATTCACCAATTTTCGCAGTTGCAGTCTACAGACATCGTTGACCAAGATACTGCTTATTCTTCTTGAATGAACTATTTCTACTCTTGAAGTAATAGCTTGGAGCTGACTAAGACGGAAGAAAGGCAACTTCCGGCAATTTTCCGTTGGTGCTATTAGTATACCATTTCCGTTTCTTTTTTAAATGAAAAGTTAAATTACTCATACGCCAATAAATTAGTGGAACAGAGGACAAATCAATTCATGAAAATGCTATAAGCACTAAGACAGATATTCGGAGTTCTAAAAGACAAACAATGGCTGGTTGAATATTTGTTTGCCATTAGCGTTTGTTTCCCTATAGTGCAGGACCGACTGGATGCATAACTACAACCATGTTCGCGGATTCGCATTCCATTCCTACGTTAACAGTAATTTCGCCATACCATGTCGCAAGAAAGGACTTAGAGTAATTCAGTAAATTCCAGATATATATCCAAAAAATGTTAGAATAAAAAATCTAGCAAAGTTTTAGACTGCCTAACATGCTATAGCCAAAAGGAGGGTTTACAAAAACAAACATTTAGTATGAACAATAATTTCAAGAGCTTTAATGATTTGTTAGTGCGGCCACCTGATGTCTGGCGGTTATTTCGGTATTTGTCTTGATCTTGTACGCGTGGACTTGTCTTCAGGTCAGGACACAGCTCAATCCCGTATTCTCATTCCATAAAACATGCAATCAGCCCAAAGTAATGCCTGCATCTGCTTGGCGGGAAGATTTGAGGTGCTACATACACAAGCTCACAAATGGAAATTCAAGAGCCTTCAACTGTATAATGAAGTGGTCATTTAAATGCAGCATGTGGTGATTTTTAATTTATTTAAAGACTAGGGTCCCGCATGTGTGCGAGTCTTATGTTCGTCGTTGGGAGCGTCCCCATGTTTTACTATCATGCCGTATACAGTACTTTTGGCAGTTACATCTTCAGGAAATACAAAGTATTGAGCATAACAATTCTTACCTGAAGACAAGTAAAGACCGAATGCTCGAGCAACATGCATGGCAAGGGTGTGTTAGACATTAAGTTTAGGCAACATGCTCTAGGTCCCATCGCAAAGCTTGTGCAACATAAAGGTCTCAAATTTAATCCTAGGTTTGAACTAGGGTCGTCTAACACTAAAGGTAAGTTGATTTAAGTCACTGATTGCAAGTAAAGTGCTGTAAAAGAAATATGCTTCAAATATCATTATTTTTGCATTTTTGTTCCTAAATAAATATTTAAGTTTTTAAAACGTATCCACGATAGATGCGTTTTAATTATTGAATCGACTTCTCCTATTTTACACGTCTTTTGAAACATCCAATCAAGGTGTCATATAGCGCAGTTTGGGACAATTTCACTTTGGGAGCATCAGTGTTTAGTCTTATTTGATTATGGCTAGCCCAAGTCTTGCTATCAACCGCATAAAAAAGGAGCTCTTAGAGTTGCAGAAGTCCACTGACGTAAGGCACACTAATAATATGAATATCCTCAGAATGCCGATAATCCCATCGAAATCTATGCAGAAACCGATAATATAATGAAGCTCCGTGGTGTTATAGTCGGTCCTCCGGATACGCCTTATGCAGGGGCAAAGTTTATGTTGGAGATAATAATACCGGAGACCTATCCCTTTCTGCCACCGAAAGTTTGTTTTTCTTATGCGCCAATAGCCTGTAGGTCAAGTTTCTTACGAAGATCTGGCATCCGAATATTAGCAGCGCTACCGGTGTCATTTGTCTGGACATACTGAAGGATCAGTGGTACGCCATTACTAGATTTTATTCGACTTCCTCACCAATAATATTTGTTTTCGCGCCCACGTAGCTTCCCTGCTATCACAACTTATTCGTTTAGCTTAAATTTCTTTTGTAGGTTCGATAACATTTTTGCAGTGTTGCCCTCATTGAAGTTTTCGCTATTGAGGAATGTGGTTGTTCGTTTTTCATCTGCATGTCAGGCACCAGTCTTATAGAAATACATTGAGTTCACTCACATGGTCCCATAGGTTTGTACTCACACAGGACTATAAGGTGCTTTCAAACGGGGTTTCTTTAGTCTCATATTTCTATTTTGATATCTTGCGAACAATTCGCTTCATCGATTGTCTTAGTTTTCAAATGCCTTGGTGACGGACACCAATTAAGTCAATTCGCGTAGGTGGGCACGTCTCTATTATGGCTATATGATCGACGCTAATTTGTTGCTGGTACTGCTCTACTTTCAGCGGACTGCTTCTTAAAAGTAAACGAATTTCTGGATTCATTTTGTTGAGGTTTTTATGAAGGTGTCTTGGATCTGTCATTGTAAGCTTGTGCCGCTAAGGTTGCGGTTGGCATTATTTGTCATGGTAAATGGTAGGTAAAAAATAGCACCAGGAATTGGCTATTTGTTAGGACTCCTCATCAGATTCACTTCGATGGTGCAAGGCCCGTTAGATGTTTTTTTGGAAATTGGATCAGTGTTGGCGGATACGCTTCTCTGCTCTTCTACCAAGGCAAATTCAGGGTCGGCTGTTGTGGAATATTAGATGCTCAGTGCTAAGGGATGTTTTGAGACTCAAGGGAGTCAGTGTGGGTCATGTTCGCTTTGGTCACAGGCGACCTCATGGTGAATGGAACTGTTGTGCAATCTTATTGATAACCATAAGTACAGCCAACGTGCTGTATTTTCTACAGTATGGTACAGTTGGGGACTAGCCGTCAACTAATTTGTATTATTGAGTGTTATCTCATTACAGGGCTGCCGCAATGTCATTGCGCACGATGCTGTTGTCGATCCAGGCGTTGCTTGCCAGCCCTGAGCCGGATGATCCGCAAGACGCGGTTGTTGCAAAACAGTTCAAATCGAACCGAAACGCATTCAATATAACGGCCAAACATTGGGCCTCCATCTATGCGAACGGGCCGTCCAGACAGCCTGACTGTGAAGCTAAAGTAGAAAAACTTATGCAAATGGGATTTTCTGAGGTAATTAATCTGTTAGAGGTTCGATTCTGTAAAATTGGCTCGTGGTATGCTCTCAGAACGTTTAAAGAGCTTCTTTTCCATCATTGTGTTGCTCAGCGTTTGTCTTGACAGACCTCTTAAATGAATTGTGTCGACAGAGTGGGTTTTTCATGGATAAATCAACTGTAAGAGGGCAAAATGCAATGCCCATTTTGTGGAAACTTCATTTTTACCCAAGTTTCTTCGAGTAACAGTAATGTTTGTGCAAGTAAGTCATTTTTACGCTTTCGGTTAATCTTAACTATTTTATTAATGCAGTGGTGAAAATCGATGTGGTGAGGCATTTAATGCATATCCTCTTAAGTACTTATTTGTTAATTTAAGGACCATTGGTTAGATGTGTTCGTAACATTTTTTTCGCCCAATAAGGCTTTTTTCGTTTTTTCATTGGTATTCTTTTTATTTCCTTAAATTGATCTTAAATCATTTGCGATTTCCAGCTCTCAGTAATAACTTTTTTGACAAATCATCCCATAAAACGCATGTAAAATATTTTCATGTTACTGTTCTTCACCAGAAACTTAGTCATATTAAACGGAACTACTGAAGCATCAAGATAACCGAATGCAAGTACATCTCAGTGCAAACCTGGTTATTAAGATCTTAGTGACTTGTACTTAATGCGACTCATTTCTTTTGGGATTTTAAGTATCATTAGTTTATCTAATTCCCTAGTTAAATTCAAACAGTTGAATGCTATGCCATTGAGTCTCAACCGATTTATTTGATTCTCTGCATAATTTCATATCGCGAATTTCTTTATCTTCGTTATATGTTAGGCATTTCGCTGCTCCCATTCTCGACATGCATCTAAGATTCGTTTGCGAAAGTCGATGATAATGAACTAACATTGGGATCCTTTGTAGAGCGATTCCAGGGCGGCACTATCGTCCAAGGACTGGGACATCCCAATGGCGGCCGAGTTTCTGATCAAGTAGCCACTCGCGACATCTCAGAAGATGGCCAACTTCTCCTAATAACTTCGTTGAATTACTTTACTTGAAATCCCTCTTCCTAGTATGAACAATATTCTGTGGATTTCGTTTCTATAAGTACCTGCAGACATCCTCCGTGTAAATACTGCCATTCACGCCTACACTGCCACCATTTCAACTCGCTCAAAACGAAACCCTTGCTCTGATAGGTTGTGAATGTGATGCGTAATGATAGAAACGATTGTATAACTTTGCCTCATCCCTCGGTGAGTTAAATAAATGACTGTAATCGACAGTGAGTTGCTGACGTATACTTTTGGGGGATGGTGTGTGCTGGAGTGGCAACAATCAGTAGTGGTAGTGCCGCGGGGGATGTAGATAATACCACAACTGCTAGGCGTTCTTTCCACTGCGATGGAATCGTGACTACTCTAAAGTTAGAGAATAGTAGTCTTCCGGCTGAGGTAGACATGAGGGTTACAATCTCAAGCTTAGCCACGGAGCTCTAGTTTTGTCGACGGTGATGATTGATCGTAATGACGTCATACCAATGGTTGATTTGGCGCATATCGGATGTTTTTTAATACAGTGTTCATGTATAGATAGGTCTCATAATGTAGTTGCTCGAGACTACTCATTAGGTAAAAGAAAAAGTAATTTGACTCAGCCGCAAGAGTAAGACAAGTAGTCAAGTGACCATCAGTCATGCGGGTGGTCTCGAGACGCTGCACTAGTGACAGTGGCAACAGAACGCAAAATTTTAACGATTTCTATCCTAGTATTCACCTTTTACCACACTTTATGGTGTGAAGTAAGCTCGTATAATTCAAGCTGTGCTTCTCCACACTCTTCACGACAGGACCGAAGCGATGCCACTGTCAGCTTTCTTACCGCATCCGTGTATAGATGTCACAGATGACACTAATCCGAATGCTCTTCCATACGGGAGCGTGTTGGATCCCATCTTCCCTGCCAAACATCTGTTTTAGATCAATGCACCACCTTCTAATGCTGGACACGATTGATGGCCAACTGAAATTCCTCTCTGCAATCCCTCCCCTCAGAACGAACGTGACTCCAGGTCCGGTTGAAGCTGTTGAGAAGGTCCAGTACAATGCACATCTTTATGCCAGCAGATGATTGGCGCGGTTGGCTCGTGGGTGTTGCCGTGTAGCAATGGATATGTTGTGGTGGCTGGTGCGGGAGATGTACTGAGGGGATCGGCTCGCCTGAAGACGTCGCTGAATGAAGACACGGGCAGTGTAATACACTGTTCAGATGACTGCCTGAATCCGTTGATGACTTTGGTATTCGTCTAGCTCTTGTAAGCGTTGAGTACATGCTCTCAGCCCAGTTTAATGCATACTTTTTCCTGATAGGCGTCTCGGAACTTTTATGACATTTGTTTTTAGAAGTGAGTCTGGAATATTACGGGTGCTTTTATTAAAGCGCTGTATTGTGCGCTAATGTGCCTTTATAGGACAGAGACAGGAAAACAATTCGAACATGAATCCAGTTCTCAGGTTGACATCAGCATCCTGCCTCATCATTTATCCCTCCATTTCCTTTCTTTTTGTATATGATGATTAACAAAGTTTCCCCAACTAACCCTCTCCTAAGGTCCCAGTTTCGGAGGCGTGGTGATAAACAGAAGACTCTACAAGCATAATCTTTGCATTTTATCCCAAAGTGTTCCAGTTCCAAATACATTTTTGAATCGATGTATGGCGCATGTGCATACAAGCAGGCTAACTGTTGCCAAAACGTCAGGAAGATTTAAATTGTAGAGCCTGCCTGCCTACCCTCAGGAGCCTGAATCTGGGACTTCAGGAGAGGACTAGTTGAATAGGCTTTATTAGGCATCACATACAGAAAGACAGGAAATAAAGGAGGATTTGCAGTATATACTAGAGACGGGAACCAATTTGGAACGCGAATCACTTGGGCGAAGACGATGAGGAGTCTCTATTCAATTGGTGTCTCCTATTTGGATCATCTGCATTCCATTCCCCATTCTTCCTATAACAAATGCCCAATAAATCATCTGCAACCAACTCTCTTGAAGTCTGAGGTTCAAGAGCCAGAGGGTAGGGAGTCAGCCCTTACAGGATTGATGAGACGGAAATCCGATATCACCCTGGGAAGGTAGCTTCACAGTTTTCACGCGCTGTATTTCTGTTTGGATTCCTCTCTCTACCCTAAAGAGGCAAATTTAAGCACATCAATGTATATTACATAAATGCTGTACAAATATGAACATAAAGCAATTGATCTTGAATGATCTATAATTTCGAGTTATTTCATCGGGTGACCTATACCTTTAATGTAGCTATTTCCATTATCGCTAGCAAGTTTACGGGTGAAATTTTAATGTCAGGGTAAACCTTTGAACCATTAGTTGACTTCTACTGTGGAGCTAGATTGCAATGGAAATATCTTTAAGCACTTTATAAACACCGTTCATTTCTCTACGACCTTGGTCACAAAATATTCGACTTGGTGTTTCTTGTGAGATACCTGGATTGTTCTGTCACGTTGCTTATTGGGCTATTAATCCGATTCCTCTGGGTAGTGCTAGATGTACTTAAAGCACACTTTTGATCAAATTATTCACCTTCTTGAAAATCTGACTATTTGGACCTTTTTTCAGTCGGCTGCCATTTGGAATACGTTAAAGTCGTTCAACGTTAAAAAGTGGTTTGAATTAAACAGATTGTTTAAGGTGTTACTTTTTAAAGCATCTAAGGTAGTGTCTGCAGACATCTTGAACTAGCTGTGCTTCCCCACACATTCCTTTCTGAGTCTAGGTGATTGGGCGAGCTTTTGTCAATTAGTTTTCGGGTTGTTTATTACTCTTAACGTTAATTTTACTATCTCCTTTTTGCTTTATGGCCAAAAGTCTTTATACTTCTTAGTTCTCGAACCAACATGCCCTTTGCATTTACATTGGCAACTGTGTCGGATAACTTTATATTCCCCAGGGTGCATCATTTTTGTTCTATTTCGAAGTAGTTTGATAGGTGAGGACGCCTCTGTTATTGGTACTGTGGTTGTATTCTTTGTTGGTAAATGAATATCTCCAGCGTATACTGGTGCATTTTACGCTTTCAGAATCAAAATGGATAATACCCTTATAAGTGATGCTGAACGCTTTTTCATAATTCAGGGCGCTCAGGTAGGCGATTTTTTTCTAAAATGTAAGTTGAGCAAGCTTGATTGTCGACTAGATGGAAGACAACGAAGGGATTTTCGACCAATAGAATTAGAAACAACGATTCTTAACCACACAGCTGGCTCAGCACGTGTCAAAATGGTAGGATTGTTTAGCAGCTTTGCCACTAACTTTAATTATTTAGGGAAACACTATTGTAATTACTTGTGTTACAATTGAAATTGGTATCCCGTCTGTTGATGCTCCTAACGAGGGTCGAATTGAAATTGACGTCGAATGGTAAGTTTGTTCTTCAACACTGTACTTTTGTTTGTCCTTTCAGTAAACGTTAGATTTATCCTCATTTTCTTATTATTTAAATGCTTGAGCACATAAAACTAATATTTCGCGCACTTCTTTTCTACAAGCTCTCCAACGGCCACGCCCAGATTTTCTGGTAAAAGTGGATCAGATATTGCAGATACACTAAAGGCAACTCTATCGACTGCATTCACAGGGACTTGTTTGCCCTTCCAATTGCTATGCATCCAACCAGGAAAGCAGTGCTGGGTCATTCATGCCGATGTTCTTGTAGGACACTTTCCGTTGCTTCTCAAACTTTATAGCTCCTGGAAAGTGATGGAAATCTTTTGGATGCAGCCTCTCTTGCGATCGTTGCTGCTTTGTCAACAGTCAAGTTAGCATTTTTCCTATGACATCAGTCCATTCATAGGTTACCGCTTTCTTTAGCTCAGAAAATTGCATCAGAAACTGCCGATACTTCCGGTACTATGGATTTCAAGCTTTCACTAACAAATCTTCCGTTGTTTACTACTGTCCACAAGGTTGTTATTCAGTCAATAATTGCGTCGGCTAGGCATTGGTATTCTGATTCAAACTTGCGGTCTGCTTTTTGTCCATGACAGGTTGGAGATTCGTATATTGTCGACGCTGACAAGGAGGAAGAAGCCTGTTCATTTGCCCGGTAATTTTAAATTTTTTCTACTGACTATCTCCTAGTAGATTCTGCACAATGTCGCTTATGTTTGAGATTTGGTCGTTTTTGTTGCTGACTTTTGGGACGTGAAAATTTTAGCGCCCGCCAAAGTTCCCTTTGTTACACCTAGAGTCGAAGCTCTTATTTGCTTTAACGCTAAGTATCCTAGGATATGGCGGTTTTAAGAATGCCATCTTGCGGAAATTGCAAGCGCTGGCTTTTACCGTGTTGCTTTGATTCTTAGTTAGAAAATAAAAGTCCATTACTTGAGTTATGCTTCTGATGATGTGCTGTTAACTTTTGAAAGATACTCAGTCCTGGATATTTCTGGCAACGTGGCCTTGTGTACGCGAACCTGCATTTATTCCTATGCGCTTTAGTATTTTTGTCGCCGTTCGTGTTGATGGGACGATCACGACAATTATCAAGGAGGGCTGTGGCAGTCTGCGGATCGACTCAGCAATTAAAATGATTGAGGTGGGCCTCTTTGATAAACCTGTTTTTTGTTCTTGTTCGACGTCTTTGGCCGTGTTGAGGTATGACATTCGTACTCTATATATTAGGTCTTCTAGTCTGACAAATTTGAGATAATAACCTCTGCAAGCGGCTGTTGAGTAACATGTGGTCATAGCGTTCTTAAGGAAGATACTCGACATTGACTGCCATGAGTGTCTGTCACTTAAAACTCCGTTAGTGAGCTTGTGTAATGGCAGCAACTGCGAATGGACGGGTTTTCAAGCATTGACCTTTAAAACAATTTGTTTCTCCTTGATTACTACACAGGTTAAGGGTTATTTAAGATTCCGCTGATTCAACAAGCATTCTGTTATTATTACTTACTAGAAATGGGCGATCTCCAAGTGTTGCCTGGAAATTTATCATAAAGCAGTTATATTATTTCGTAATGTAATGCCAGTTTAGATAATAGAACGAAGCTTTGACTGGTAGCTTATTCTCGTTTGAAGTCACTGCTTACATTTTGCATTACCATTCTTTGCATTGCTTGTGTGTATTTTCTGATTTTATGAGTTACTCGTTTGTTTTACTTCTCAAAACGCCATTAACTTAAATTTGCCTGCTAGAGCGATTGTTTTGCAATACTTGGATGTGGTCCTTTGAGTGTTTTTGATAGCTCATCTGCCAAGTTACGCACGAGTCTTTTAACCGTTTCACCTTCTCGAGGTGCTACTCTCGACACAGTTATCATTACTGACACTTCTTAGGCAGTCATCTATCATTCGTTTGGATTACATTTGAGGCTCTTGTATCATTTTAACTCAGACAATTTGTCTTGTATGTTTTCTGGTGTTGCTTACCCCTATGTGTAAGCTCATCTTTTGATGGAAACGTAGGCCTATTTACTACTAGAACCTGTAACAAACAGGCCAACTGTTTGGTTTAATGTCTCCTTCTCCTCGAACGGGAGAATATGGTTAGGGCGAGCATCTTGTATTTGTGTTGAAAGGGAGAGAGCCTGCAGATTGTTGAAGCTCTCGTCCCAGGGGCCAAAGGAGTTTGCTTGATCACGAGGTCGATCCAACCTGATGGTTTACCACCTAAAATATACATTCCTTTGTGCCCTTATCAACAAAAGTCTCCCTAAATTTGCATCTCACTTCCACATCGGTCTTCTGGTTCATTGTCCACCGTCACCTGAGCAAATAACTGTACAGGTATCAAAACTTTGTGGTCCGGCCTCTGACCACAGAGTTGATCGGCTTGAAACAGTTTGTGTTAAAGTTTTTATTTTTCTATCTCTAAATGGATGGATGCAAATTCAGTTAAGTGCTTATTTTTAAGTGATAACGTATAACAAATTTTGTGCATTTCGGGTTTCGCTATGATGAGAAGTACAACTCAACCCTGTGCATTCCTGATACATTTGTCCATGATTTCCATTTCAACGCTTTTCTCGCGTCTTACTGCCGTTTGATGTCAAAACAATGGACTTCAGTTTAGCTGCAAGTCTCCGTTAGTGATTCAAGCCCACTTGTTGAGGCGAAGAGAAAACGGATTCGTTCTGCGCGGTTTCTACATTAAACAACTGATACTGCCTTTGGAAGTGGTTTAACACAACATTAGCTTCTCCGTGAGCTGCCTATGTTAATGCACGATATCACCAAGTTTACCACAAGTGCCTAAAAAAAGATATTGGCCCTGCGTATTCCGACCTCCAATTCTGTCAATTTCAACTGGTTTGTATTTCCTGTAAGTGCTCTGTAGAGCACTCGTTGCAACCTGTTTTTTACTCAAGTATGTGTTAAGGGAATGGTGATATCGGTAGTTTTAACACGAGTACTGATAAGCTGCTTCAATAAAAGATCTGAGCTATTCACGTGCTGAATTCGCACAAATTTCCCTGCTCATAGCCGCGCGCCTGCAGAAATACGAGCGGTTTCTGTGTGGCGCCATGTTGCTGAGTTTCTTTGAGGGCATTTGTGCTGTCAAATTGACCGTCGTGTGATTACTGGCGCCAACAATAACAGCTCGTATAATAGCTACCGATCATGGTGCCTTATTAATGTGGCTCCCGATAGAGATGCACAGCCTCATCACCAATGTCGATGTTAAATACGTTAGTGCTCTCACCTCCCCCTGCTTATCACACAGAATTCTCGGTACGTTTAATCCAATTCGTACATTTTGTATCAAAAGAATCACTTTTTGTGGCTGAGTTTTGAGGTGTCGTATCCTTTTTCATTTTTGTATACTCTGGTGATTTCTGTAACACTTGAAAGTGAGCAAAGTCTCGCATGCTTTAATTTCTGTGCTCAATAAACTCTTTATTTGATTTCTTTGATGTAAGTTATTCTCATTATTAATCAGTTCTCCTTATTGTTCCATTAAAGCTCATTGTTTGGCTCAGAGAATACGCCAAAGGTGGCGGGTTCTTTTGAGTATTTGGTCCGAGGCTTTTTAAGTACGAATCTCCTCCTGCGTTTTGTGGGCAAGCGTTGATTGTTGGACTCCCTTCCATGGCAATTTACTGTTGCTCTACTCGATTATGTGTATCCAAAGCTTCTCTGAAGAAGTGGTTGTCTTCACTCCAGCAAATGTTTGTGTTACTTTTGGATTCAATTTTGTCCAACTGATTTCTCAGCTTCGCTTATATTATTGTAACACCGAGATTAGGCTTTCACTCATGATGAATGCTGAAAGGATTATCGTATGGAAGTGAGCGTTTGGATGAGACACTACAACCTACTGACTAGCGTATTTCCATGCTTCATTATTGAACTGAGAGAGGGGCTAAGTTAATGCCCATGACGTGCACTTCGTTCATTGGTGGTGCAGTTGCGCAAAAAAAGACTTGGTAACACTTTCGGTCTGGCGTAGAGGCGTTATTTTTTGATTCACATCACTAAACTTTGTTATTTTCCCTTAGCTTAAAATCGTATGCTTTGTGCAAACTCCCGTGTGTACCTTTTTTAAATAAGTCTGTTGGCGAAGGTACTGAAAGCTTCTTGTGTTTGTAAATCAGGAAGTTACTTCACACTTGGCCTACAAATTGTTGAATCTATTTTAGCTGATTGTTTTGACCAAACAAACACCTCTATTATATATAATTTGTGGCCACTCCACTTTTGGTTGGGTTGAATGCTATCATTTTAACATTGTCACTTTTTCCTTATGCTGTACCTACTTTAGACGTTAAATGGCTTCTTTGTTTCCTTTAGAGTTATCTGCCTAATACGCTCAAATAATTTATTCAATTACGCTGCAATCTCAAAGCAGTTTTCTGGTGTGCAAATCTTACTGAAATCACCAATATGAAAACTTGATTTCCCGAATTTGCACTTTGGTCTTACGTGTTAGTCATCATAAATTGATATCACTTCGTTTTAGCTACGCTGTGCATTGTTTAGCATCACGGAGATGCCATTTTTTCAAGCATCTTCCTTAACGCGCCTACCCGGAGGTCTTTTCCCGAGTTTGTCTTCCGCTTATAAAGTGTGAAATGATCATCGGTTATCGTGCATGCTTCTTTTTTTGAATCGGATGGGAACGCTTTTTGATCGGTAAACTCTTGGTGTCGATATTACGGCGATATACCATATGGGTAACTTCACTAATTATCTGACCTTTTGGGTGTACTGAACGCGTTGTAACACCCGCTTATGTCAACCTGGATGTGAAGCTCTTCTGTTGTTAGTCAGAATCTATTTCTCCGAGTAAAACATCCATTACAAACTAAATCGCCACGTCTATGTAACTCAATCTAGTCATAGTGATTTTCTTTCTCTTTCTAAGACCGACTTGCTGTTCTAGCGATCCCCAACTACAATTTCTCCTCGTCAAATTTCAGTTCGTAAAGTGATGCCGCCACTTTTCTCTAACTGGTGACCTTACTACCGTGCGCATCCCACTGCACGATCGGACGTAACAGACTTTGCTTTGTCCAAATTTTGCAGTAACTTTTTTCGACATAAATCATCCCAAATATACCAGTACACAGTCTTTTATTACTCCACTGTCATCTCTCTGCTTGCCAGTTGACTATCAGAAGTTGCTTCAAAGTCCCGGAATGGATGAGAAATGGCGGTTGGACCGCATGCACGCGTTTTGGTGTGTCTTCATTGTCTACTGAACCGCTTTGGCAGTTAGTGATTCGGTCTTTTCGGACTAGAAATTGGACAGAATTGGAATTAATAATATGGGCCATATGCTCCATAAATTCTTTCCTCGGTTTGCGTAATATTAAAAGCATACAGTTTGGATAAATCACCTCTTCAATCGGCACGTCTTCGGTTCTAGTCTGTTGTTAGGTTGTCTTGGCTATGATTCAGGTATGCATGCTTCATTATTTGGCCTTCGCGAAAACACTTGCGTTCATGGGCGGTTATGTAGCTACCAAATAGGGCGCTCGTTGTTAGTACCCAGTGCCTGGATTCAGAAGTCTTAACAAGGAATGTGCACCACAGGGCTATCCTTTTCTCAGGACACCCATTTTGCGGCTTATTTCCTGGGGTCGGCTTGCTTCTTCTACTCTTG